AGCAGGACTCATTAGATGTTTGGCTAAACTGGGGTCAGTGATTGATAAGACTATTTTAACTAGCAGTTCTTATCCATGCCATTTTGGAGGGTTTGGCAGAATATGCAAGATTTAACTGAAAGAGAGTAAAAAGTACCATCATGATGAGGCAGAAAAAATCCCTCTTTTTATCAATTTGAATTCACATTAGTTTAGATGAAAAAATCTTCAACCTTTCAAAACAAGTTTCTAACTATGAACGAATTTATTTCCTTGTCTTTGCATATAGCTGATAAAAACTACAAAAAATAACAAAGTCAAGCCATACCTAATGTACTGTTTATGTTTCAGCCATTTGCCAACCTCTATGGAGTTCACCCTTTCTATCTGTGTGTAGAAGATGACTTCAATGCTCACGGTGTTCTCCTTCTGAACTCCAATGCACAAGGTAAAAAAATATATGGATTCCTTATATAGACTGCATATAAAAAGATGGTAAATTAGTAAATACAAAAAACTGGTTTACTGATTGCTTTTTCAATGTGGTACAAATATGAATGATTGTTTCAAAACTGAGGTTCCAGGAATTACTACAAAGTTTTCAAAGAGATTTCATTAGAATGACTTTTTAACAAGATAAGCTATTTTCAATGAAAATATATGATTAATCTTTTTTTGAAAATAGATGCATATACAGGGAAAGGAGAAGGTGGAAGAAAATTTCCTCTGGGATTGGCATAACTGAATCAAATCAATTTAGGTTAGTCCTATATTCCACCAGTGGAGAATAGTTTTGTGCGTTACCATGGTCACCTTACTGTATTAATCCAGTGGTACCATTTCAGAAAAGGTGGATCTTCACTCAGTCTATAAAATCAGTTTCCCCTGGCAGGCAATGACTTCCAGTAAGAAGATTAAAATAGCATAGAGGAACCCTAAACACAAGCTTGTGGTTCCTTTTTATATAAATGAAATTGAGACAAATGGTTCCGTGCAATCTATTCTGTGTGGGTTTCTGTGATTTATTGCTGCACAATGGCAATCTGAAACACTGGGCAACTGCTAGTCTAGGTACAGGTCCTGTTTGCTCATCCAATCGTACCCACAAGGCATGGAGTAGTTACTTGAACGTGTAGCCACCGCTGCCTGGGGTTACGTTTATGCATGAAAGACTCCAGTGTTCATACACCTAGAGTAGGATGGAACAGAATGGAATAGTTCCATTTGAAGGGACCTACAACAATCCGATCATGTAGTCCAACTGCCAGACCACTTCAGGTCTGACCAAAAGTTAAAGAAGATTATTCAAGGCATCGTCCAAATGCCTCTTAAACAGACAGGCTTGGAACGTCAGCCACCTCTCTAGGAAGCCTGTTTGAGTGTTTGACCACTCTCTTACTAAAGAAATGCTTCCTAATGTCCACCCTAAACCTCCCCTGGTGCAGCTTTGAACCATTCCCAGGCTTAGTGCGGAGGTGATTTGTACTGAGAACCTGTCTTTTCCCTTTCAGATGTTACTCTGAGTCCAGACCCATCCTTGACTTTCCGCACGATTGGAGGGATCCTCGACTTCTATGTCTTCCTTGGACCCACTCCGGAAAACGTAATTCAGCAATACACAGAGGTTAGTAGAACAGTCCATATGGCACATGGGGCAGTATCCTGTAATGAACAGTATCGAGAGCAGGAGTGTGTTAAAGGGTTGTAATGATTAGAAAGAAATTTGTCGAAGCTTATTCTTCTCCGGGCTGTGGTAGTTTTACAGTCTTCACTACATGACCGTGACTGTGTTTTGACACTGTGAATAGAGAAAACAAACTAGGCAGGGAACAGATGGGAATGTCTGAGAACTTTACATCTGCTGGACTTTCAGAGATTTTGAATGAGCTTCAAAGGCCTTAAGCCTTTATTTGCCAGTGGAATTGCCTGTTAATTTTGGAGCCGTCAGCCTTTTTTTTTACTAATGGAAACCCAGGTAATTACATTGGAGAGCATAGATGTGAAAAAAAACATATTTACTGCTGTCTCAAAGAGCATAGCTACTTGCTTTGCAGTTGCCCAGTGTTTTCCAAAGAACTGAGGGTACCCATCAAACAGCTGTTTTGGAGTGTGCGTGCAATTCTTAACCAGTGAGGGCTACTTGGAAAAAAGTGGCAGGTAATATGTTCTTCCTGGTCACCAAACGCCAGATGATGTGTTTACTAAGCACTGGCACCAAAAATTGCCACCTCAGAACCAAGTTCACTGCATAAAGAAACCAGCACTAAGCCTAAATAGTGTGGAGCAAAGCTGAGAAGGGGCACACCACTGTGAGAAGAGGGATTCATGCTTGCAGACCCTGAGGATCAAGCTGTGACCAGAGGTGCCGAGCAGCCTGCGGTAGGGTGTTCTGGAGCCAGACAGTTGGAGCTCGTAGGGAGATGTTCATGCTCTCTGCTTTCCCCTCCACCGCCCCACCAAGACACCTGAGTTCTGATTTTCAGCAATATTTTGTCTTGCCTGGCTTTTTAAATCCTCTATATCCTATGTTTGCTGCCTTTTAAAATGCCTGAAATAGGAATAGAAATATTGTGGTTTGGACCAATGGAAAAAGAGGATTTAGCCCAGAAGGAAAGTATTGCTGAGTTCTGTTTTGGTGATGAAAAGGAGAAGAAGCCTCACTTATGCTGTAATTTTGGGAAGGCTGGGCTCTGCTAAACCTTCCTTTTCCAAGCAGAGGTTCAGGTGGTGCCTTCCAGAGAGGTGGGAGGCTGCTGGTGCCCCTCAGTGTCCCCGAGCCGGAGTGACTGCTCTTCCCAGGTCCCAGTCCTCCTGCGCATCCTCCCCACCAGCCACCTCGGACCCGGGTGCCAGAGACCAACTAGAAAAATGGGTTTTGAACTTACACATTAGCAATCAAACGAAAAAAAAATCAACCTAAGTAAGAGCAAAAAAGTAAATTAACTCTCCCCTAGCCGCAGCTGTGATCCCTGCGATGGAAGCACCTATTTCGAGGGAGTTGCTGCAGTGGCGTGATGGAGATTAGAGCCATCCCTGCTTCTTTTCAAAGTCTTTCGCTGGTGTTTGAAGGCAGCCTTTCTGTGGCTTAGCAGGTGGCCAGCAGCTGAAAATAAAATGAGAGAGTTCTCACTCCCCAGCTGATGGGTACTGGCAGCTCGCTTTCCACCCCTGCCTCTCTGGAAATGGAGCTGGAGTGAAGAAAACAAGGTAAAGGGGAGCCGGTGGGCGTCTCCTAACTAGACATGTCACATGCCAGGACAAAAAATTCCCTGTTCTGTATTCTTCGAGCTTACACTCAGCTCTCTAGGGACTCTTAAAGAATGCAAGGTAGAAATTTCACAGTGAAATAATAACTTCTTCAGCAAACATCCTGAAATTCCCGGATCGCAAATGTTACAATTACCATATTATTAGTCTCTAGGGTAATGATTTGGCTTTTCTGTACAAGGCATGTGGGAAGGCAAAGGAGACAGAAAAGACTTTACTTTTCAATTGTATTTTCTGTCACACCAAGAGGATTCTTCTGCACGGTCACTGTCACGCCCTGGGGAAGGAGAGAGGGTAGAAAGGAGTAGTGTGACCGACATCTGCAAGGCACTGCTCAGCACCACCCCTCAGCTCTCTCAGCCGTTTGCGTGGGTCTTCTCTGGGAAGTGGTGTTGTGGGAGGTCCCAGCGCAGGAGACCCTGGTGGGGACAGGCTGCCCTGCTGCAATGAGCGCCTGGGGGAATTGGCACCCACCTCCCGATTGTGCAAGCGTCTGCCCAAAATCATTGTGTGGGGCTTTTTGCGAGGACCACCCATTGCATCCTCTCCAGGATGGCTCCAGCGGTATAGCAGGGTGCCCAAGTGCCAGCCCGTGCACGGCTGTTGAGCGGAAGGGAGCTGTGTCCAGACCAAAGTCCTCCACATCCTTCTCAAACATTTTGTGCTGTTGCCTTCAGTGTCACTTCAAGACCTAGGCAACTCTCCTGGTCCCCACCGTGCTTATTTCTGTGAAAGATCTAGGAGCTCAGCTCTGCTCAGTGCTTTTATACAGCCTCTTCCAAACCAGTGAGTTAGGACAGCTTTGTAACAAAGCTCTTTACTGGGTCTCTATAGGGCACGTGCTTTCCCCATGCACCTCTCCATGTTGCTGCAGCACCCCGGGGTGGCCCACAGGCTCTTGCCCAGAACTGGGGCTGCGTGGCCAGCTGTGGGCAGCTGGACTGTGCCAGGAGTGGGGCTCCCTGAGTGGTGATCATGGATGACTGCATCTGCCCTGCCAGAGCCACCAACCTCTTTGTGCATCCTTGAGGTGAGGACAGGTGGCAGTGAAAGCCGTGGTGGCTCCTGGTGCCAGCCTGGCCCAGGCTAATTTGCTTTAAACAGGCTCCAAGGGCATGTGTGGGGCATTATGTGACGGGAAGGAGAAATCTCCATCCTGATTCTTCTGCTCCCTCCTGTCCCTGAGCCCAGCAGTGAGGAGCGCTGCTCCTGGCACATCAGAGACGGTCCTCCCACAGCTATATATATATATATTTGACAGTAATCACACTTTTCTCCTACTACAGAGAGGTCCGGTGTGTGGAACAGTTGTATAACACAAATCTCACTTTTTATGGCAAACGCCTCAGTTTGCAGGAGGATGGGCAGCAGCAGTAATAAGCTAAAGAGCTCAGCCATTGAGCTGAGCTTAGCCGAGGTTCTACAGCCAGACCTCGTACCAGGCCACCATGGCCGAGTCTGCTCGTGGCCTTTCAGGACAGAGTAACAGTGTGCAGCAGTAGCATACGAGCTCCCTAACTAGATACTCAGGAAAGTTATAGTTCGACAAATGGGCATTGAACAGCTGTTGGGTGGAGCGAAGGGTATGAATTTGTTATTTTATCATAAATGATCCAATGACAGACTTTCAGACAGCATTCTGCATACAGTTCTGTTTTGAGAGCAAATTGCGAGTTTACTTCCTCCTTAGAGAACTGTAGGATAGTTCTAGGTGGAAGGGACCTCAGGAGGGCTCTAGTCCAGCCTCCTATTTGAGACATAACATGGGGAACCTGCTTGTACCTACAGTTTGTCACAAATGATTCAGTGAGAGTCATGCAGTTGAATTCATGGGTCCCCCAAGAAAGGCTAAGCAGCTGACAAGTGTTTAGGCAGCAAAGAACAAGCTTTGAAGACCTTGACATTGAAAGTTCTTAAAACTCTTAGACT